TGATTTTTAATGCTGTTAAACATGTGTAATTGTTACCGAACGCGTGTAGTATGAAATAAAATTAAGCTACTAATAAAATAAATATATTTATTCTCTTACTTTATTTAGTAAAATAATGTGGACTTTAGGGGAGAAAACAACTACCTATAAAATGAATTAATTACCACAGTTGTAACAACCATACATAGGAGTCGTATATTTCCGTGCCAACGCGATTCCGTGTAAAATAACGATTTTTGTCCCCCGCTTGAAAAGTGGGGGATATTAATTTGGGTCTGTCCGTCCGTCTGGCCGTCCGTCCGTCTTTCTGTCTATCTGTAACGCTTTCGTTTCCACACGATATCTCGAGAACCCTTTGAGCGATGAAATTTTACATAACAACTCCCTTTGGCTTAAGGAAGACCCTATTGATTTTGAGGTCAAAAGGTCAAAGTTCAAGGTAATAAATTTGCAAATTCTGTCTGTTATAAAACTTTCGTTTCCGCGCGATATCTCGAGAACCCTTTGAGCTTTTGCAATGAAATTTTACACATCAACCCTCTGTGGCTTAAGGAAGACCTCTATTGATTTTGAGGTCAAAAAGTCAAAGTTCAAGGTCATGAATGTATACATTCAGGATCTTGAGCTTTTGCAATGTAATTTTATACGAAAAGTCCTTAGGACCTCTCTCATCCCTCTCAAAGTGTCCCGATTCGTATGTTTTATTAGTATTTATTGTATCACATGTCGCTATTTTTAGCATGGGGGCATGAAGGAGAGTTATTACGTATAAAACAGGTTCTCGGCGGACTTTTTATTCTTATTACATCTATTAGAACTGTTTAATAAAGTTTAAATTAGACACCATGCATTGTGTTAATTTTGACAATATATCGAACGTGAATATATACATGTATGTGACTTCATGTTTGTATATAATTTTAACTATAGTCAAGCGGCTTCGTGGTCTAGTGGTATTTCTCTCGCTTAACACGTGAGAGGGCCAGGGTTCGCATCCCGAACGATCCAATTTCTTTTTCGAAATACTTTTTTATTTTACTAAATGATAGTATTCAGCATGTGAAATGAAAAATTTGTGAGGTCTGGCTTGTACAAACTCATAAAATCATCATTACAGTGTGATAAATATTCCATATAAAAAAGATCTTCTACACACATAATAAAGAACAAGAAAGCATTGATGTAACCATCAATTATCGCCCGGGAAATATATAAAGTAAACAATGGAAATAAGTCTTGATCATCAAACTGCTTCGATATGTGTGAAAAGGCATGCAATTGATGGAGACGATAGTCACGAATATTGTGCAATAATCAATCAAATCTTTATATCCATAATGGCATATTTTATTTGCATCAGTATACATTTAATAATTCTACAAATTCAGTCAAGGGGATCCAACCCACCCACCCCATCCCCACCCCCGAACTGCGCATGGTTTACTTTTGCCCTAAGCGGGGACACAAATTCTCTGAACTACCTTGTTAACACTTAAAGGTTTGATAATGTAATATTAAAAGCAGTGTTTATCTGTAAGATATTTTTACATATTAGGTTTTGGTATATTGCCGATTTCTACTCTTAATTCTTGGATGTATATATTTCATTCTCTATTCAATAAGTTTAATTACATATTTATCATAATAATTTGTGTGCATCAAGAAATTTATTCCCAATCTATCCAGTTCAGTTCTGTTTTAATATTTACAAATATTTCTAGCCATTTATTCCCTGAACGCCTGATCATTATAACAGCTATTTAATTATCACCTTCAATTAAGAAGCACTCTAGGGGTCCAGGTAGAATTTACCTGTGTTAACTTGATGTGTCAAAATGCATTAATATTTACTGCTAAAATTTTGAACTCAAGTTCAGTTTATTCACCCAAACTAGAATATTGTTATGAATATGGAGTTCATTGATACATGTACCATAAATAAACTTAAGATAAAATACTGCATATATGTAATTGAAAACACTTAACAAAAATTTCTGCATATAATAAATACTTGTTTATTTAAAAAGACTTTTAAAATTCCAAAAAGAAACATCACCACACAGGACTTCTAAATAAAAATATTGACAACTTATCTTTGAAAATATTTTTTTCAAAAATGCAATTTAATTGCGGATGGGGGGGGGGGGTGTTAAAATTCTAAATAAAGATTAAAAAGAATAATTTTTACGCTTCTTGATACATTTTTAATGTAATAAAGAATCGTAAGATTCCAGTCCTAAGATGCAAATTAATAAAGATTTCGGAATTACCTATTATTATAATATTAAGTTTAAAATGAATGCAGCTTAGAAATCGCAATTTAAACTTAATTTAAAGAATTATCTGACGCAAAATTCATTTTTATTCAATATAAGATATATTTAAATGAAAAATGATGTATGATTCATATATTTTTCTTGTTTAAGATATCCCTGTTTAAAAAAGAATGCTACTTACACATTCAACAAAATTTTATCCAACCGATCTTTAAGACACTAGT